GTTACCAAAGTTTCATAATTAACCTGCACATATCTTTTTTTATTTCGACTTTTTAGTTTAATATAAATCCACTGACTGACATAATAAAGATGGAATTTTTGAATGCTGTAACCAACAATCGTTATGGCTATTATTTAAAAGTTAGATTTTGAGGTAAAAATTCTATTTGATGAAAAATTAAAATAAATAAGTCATGATTACGCGAACCTGTTTAGCTATAGAAATAATTTAGTTCTTGAGCAAAGGAAATATTCTACAGCTTTTTTTTTTTGCTGTCGATAAGTTTGTCAAACGTTTTGTGTTACTGAAGTTTAATGGTATTACTATTGAACGGAAAAGTAACTAGCTTACCTTAAGAGAGGAAAGCCACGTTTGCAATAAAACTTAAAAGTAAAAAGAAAGTATCTTTAAGCAGCGACAGATTACTCTCTAAGAACTTTTAAACTGCATGCTGAGTTTGTTACCGTATTGATGTTTGTCTGATTTAACTGAAGGTAAAGGGAAGTGTTAAAAGTTGAGTAGGAAACATTAAATCAACTTTCAGAAAATGATTTCAGCATAATGGAAACAAAGATTTATGTGTTACAGTGTGTCTTCGGTCGTTTTAGAAATCCAGATTGGTATTATTGCTATTTCAGTCAAATTTGTATAAAAAGAATTGGTTTTACAATGCTTTACTGAACTTAACGTTACAACACTTTTTCTTCCTTTTTGCTGTCTTTCTCATAATTTTACTTATCTTTTAAAGAATGTATATCGATTCATGCTTACTAAATTATGTATTTATCTGAAAATAATACAGATTTGTTTACAGACTATACTGATTTGCCAATGATACCTAAATGTTCTAAGATTGTAGCATTTATTTTTATAATACTTGATATATCAAATACAATTAACATGCTTTAAGATTATAGTATTTTTATAAAAGTGATATTATAATGTGATATACAAAGTATATCAGATAGAATGTATTTATATCATAGATTACTTCAATAAACATCTTCATGAAGGTCATCATAGTTAACTTAATGTTTATCTTTATATATTTAAAGGCTATTTTTTTTCTATTTAAATTGTATTCACCGTGATTCTATATTTCTACAGGCAACTATTCTTTTTTTCAATTTTACTTGTTTAAATCTCAATTTTGACTTAGTAACTAATGGTCCAATGGCGAAGAGAAGCAATCATGTTAACATTTTTCGTGTCATCTCTCTAGATCCTCTAGATTATAAAAAAAGCATTTTCTGCTTAAGTAACCATTCATTGATAAACCTGTCTAGAAGAAAGGGAAAACCCGATCACTGCGCTGGAGGAAAGATTTGAGGCAATAAGTATAGAAAAAACGATTTACAGAGCGAGTGATTAAAGAGTGATTAAAGAATCTGAAGATTAAGCATAAACATACAATAACAGCAAGCTAGTACGCCGGTATATGAGCAGAACGTGTGTTTTCTTCACTTTTGCCGAATCCAGCTAGAATGGATGAGAAATTATTGGTGCCGAACAAAAAGCGGGAAATTCCTAACAAGAAATGCAGTTTGATAAACTTTTGGTTGACAATATTTTCGTATTGCATCGTAAAACACAAATTCTCGTGGAGATTTAATTTTCGTTATTTCGAGGTTTGAATCGACCTACGAATTCAAGTCCACCACGAAATGTAAAATATGACATACATAACTACTCAACAATTCTACATCCACGAAATCAAACCTACGAACCAAGAGTTTTTCCTAAAACCACGAAACCTTGACCCCACGATAATGTGTGATTTTACAGTATATCTAGAACGCAATAATCGTCATTGTAAAAAAGCAATTTTTGATCGGTATAACAATATCAATCTACTCCAATTACGACTCGAGAGAAAAAAAATCTCGCTTTTTAGCACCGTAGGTCAAGGGAGAGCGGCGAAGATGTGGAACTGTATTGACTACGGAGTATAAGTCTATTAAAATATTAGTGAGGGCCAGCCTTAGCCTTCCCCAAACATCCCTCTAAAATTATATATTTTCTAATGTTATGTTCACCGATGAATTAAGTCGGTAGCAACTGAAAATGCTTTCCATAACTATTTCTGTCAATTCGGAATTCGGAATTTCTCAACTTTGAGAAAAATAAATCCCTATAATCAACTTGAAGGTCACAAGCAGTTGAACATAACGTAGTATTTTGGTAACACTGTTGGATATCAACCAATAAGAGAGGTAGGAAAGATTCAATTAAATAATAACGCTTGAACAAACGTTTATTTTGTTAAAACAATTTTTTATTGATGCATAAATGTCTGTAGAATGAAAATTTCTCTTGCAAATTGTCAATACAGGGAGTGAAAGATTAACTTTAAGAGTGTTTCTCGATCAGATATATAAAATTGTCATCAATTGCTTTTTTAATAAACATTCAACAAAATCAGTTATTGCTTTGATCAACCAAAAGCAACTCGGTGTTTTAAATTTTTCAAACAAGGTTCGATATAGTACTCCCTGAAATCAATAGCAATTTAATTATTACTGACATAAATGTAATTGAATGCTGTATTTCTTTTCTAATTACATTTTAACAGAATATGAGAGCAAGGTATCTCATTGTTGAGGTTAAGTTTTCCTTAAGAGGATTCCAGTAAATGTGGACTGTATGTTACTTCCAACACCACTACTACCACCATAGACATGTTCACTAGATCCATAAATCTGAATCCAGACATGGTCATCTTTGTTCACGTTTATGATAACCATAGCTGAACTGGAGTCTGCCCCTCCTGGATGAGGGATATAATTTGAAGCGCGAGATGTACCTCCGACAATCAACTGGGTATAAAAACCACTGCTTCCTGTAGCTATGGTCCAGTGGAACATGTAGATGCCTGTCTGGGGAGCAATAAAGATTCCGTCTTCTGTGTGGTAGTGGTTTCCGATGTTGATGTACGTCTGTTCAAATCTTATGACTGTTCGGGTACTGATACCGCTTGTAGTTGAGGATTTGTATGCAGAAAAAAGAACAGGATCTGACTGATCGACTAGAACACCTAAAATGAAAATTAATGACAATTGAATTTTGTTTTTCAATTATTTCAATTGTTTTTCTTAGTGTGTCATTCAAATTCATATTCTTATACTTAGTTTTTTATTTGATAACAATAATATTCTCTTAAAGACATAATCAAAATTAAAACTTAAAAAAAATTCTTTTCTTTTTACTTTTTATTTAATATTTTTTTAATTCAAAATACACATGTAATCCTTTCAATTACTTGGTCGCTTTAAATAAAACAACCAATTTGATCCCGTCTATAAAATAATCTTACCAGATCTGAGAGCAAGTACATCCAATGATGGCAGATCGACATCGTTTCTTCCTGTCAGTAGCTGTCCTAAGACTCGCTCTGTAGCTTTCAGTCGTTGTTCTGTCTTTGATAGACGTTCTTCCAGACTGGTCAAATTCCGGCCTTTCAAGAGCGTGGTCAGTTCAGCCGTTGATACTATGGCAAAGAGGAGGGGTAGTTGATAAAGGAGCATTTTGGAAATCTAATCGCTTGAAAACTTATAAATTTTGTCCTTTTCGGTTGGTACTGCTCGGTAGCTCGCTCGATCAGGCTATGTTCAAATTTAAGCGAGTTGATTCTCTTATAATATGCAATGCTCAATTTAGCTCACCTGTTTAGTCTTTATTATAAAGGTTTTCCATTTGCATTCAGTTTTACTGAACAGCATCAAACGCTTTAAGATATTTGATTACATAGATTTCTAATTGTAATACCAAACACAGAATTTTTTTAATCCCTTTTCATGAAAATCTCATTATATATTTTTTTATTGTCCGTAACTTTTTCAGAAGACAGAAGATAATAGGTAAGATTTTTTCAAGCTATCAGATAGAATATATATTGAATGCTGGAATCCTCCTGCTTCCATTATTTTTAGACACCCAAAGCCACATTTTCTGTTTTTTATATTAACAGTATAATAGTATGCTTGATTTCTAATATGCAGGTTACTGAAATTGGCCTGTATCTTATTAAATTCCCTTAAGTATTATTAGAGTTTCCATAAGGGCGTTCAAGTATCCGGGTTTTCCTTTTCTCCTTAACTTTAAGAAACAAAGTTTCCTGTAAACTTCTCTTAGTATGAAAAATGAGTTGTTAAATTTGTATCTGGGTCGTCTCTTCTTAAATGTTGAATTGTTCGCATTTTTCTCTGTGGAAAAAAAGAGGTATAAAGATTAAAGAACATCTGAAAACCATTATTTTATTTAACTATCGCATAAGTTGCGAAATATTTATCCTTTTTGATTTACTTATTTTTGTTTCATTTCTTTAATCTATTTCATGATACATGGATTCATGAATACCAGGTTTATACCATAATTTTATATTTAAGCTAGATCGTTAGATAATGAATTTTCAGTCAGTCTCATCATCGATAGAGATAATAGGCAGTTGCAGAGCTCTTTATAAAACTTTCACTGACATACTGTATATAAAGTATATGACAATAGGACTGCGTTAAATTAGGCCATTCCAAGTTTTTTTTCTATGTGTAGCGTCCGCGTGCGCCTTGGTTTTTGACACCCCATATCAGAAAAAAACAACACCGGGAGTCCTGAAATTGATTAATTAAGTTAATTTCTTTTTTATTTTGTCAATGTTTCAAAATAATTCTGTATAGTATGTTATATTGGGTGCATTTTAAGCATTTAAGAGTCATTCTCTGTAAGCATCAAAATGGGCTGGAAATTGAAAATCACGGATTTTGCTGAAACTTGGTGAAATAATTACATTATAGGCCCCATTTACAAAACTATTATTAAAAGTGATCAATTGGTCTTGTTTCCATGGCAACCAGGTTACCTGTTTTTGCACATCTATAGGTGGTAAATGCCTAAAATGGTATTTCTTTCAATTAATGTACATTTAATTTAATAAAGGTGATTATTTTTCTTTCCTTTGAAATAATTTGTAATTTGTATTTTCTATACAAAAAACTTGAAAAAAATGTTTGGACCTGTCGTTAAATGCCAAATAACAGAAAAAAATTGCCTTGAAAAAGGGGGGTTGAACATAACAGTGTACACAAAAAACGCAGGCACTGGTGGAATATTCTGATGCTCTGAATTTCACTTTATACATTGATGAAGAACATATGAAAAAACTGGAGAGGTAATATTTACTTTAAGAAAATAAATTGATTGTAAATTTTGTAAAAACCTCTCAATTTACACATATTTTTGTCAGGAGTTATTTCCCTTTTCGGAAATCTTTTGCTTTAATCGATGAAAATGAAAGTAAAAGTACACAGTAATCTCTGTTGAGATTCTGCTGGGCTAGATATTTGGACTGACGCCCGCATAATCTCTGGACAGCCATATATATTTCATGTCTGGAGATCAAGTCCCAACTTCGGCCGACTATAGCAAGAATAATTCACCTAAGCCACACAGCTGCTCGCTTCAATTAAGTCATTTGGTTGTTTATTTGACCCTCTATCACTTTTATTTCTACATTGCTTACCTTTTAGACATGTAAATCCCAACATAGAAATATTCACTGAAATTTCAGTTTTAAATATGGCTCCTGTAACGAAATTGTTTACCTCCTCAAATAAAAGAGTTCTTATAGTCTGTTTTTATCCTGATTGATGTTCAATAGCCACAGAAGACATTGGTTCAGATTCACCAAGGGTAAAAACAGACTATAAGAACTCTTTTATGGAGACGTCACCATTGCCGGTGAAGGGCTGCAAATTTGGGCCTATGCTCGGCACTCAGGGCCATTGAGCAGGGAGGGATCTTTATCGTGCCACACCTGCTGTGACACGGGGCCTCGGTTTATACGGTCTCATCCGAAGGACCGCCCCATTTAGTCGCCTTTTACCACAAGCAAGGGGTACTGAGGACCTATTCTAACCCGGATCCCCACGGCAACTTTGAAGAGTAAATACTGTGTGGTTTGGATATTTTCAGGGGTTTTAATCCAACTTGTGAAGTATTTAACATTACCCATAGTTAAATGATTGTTCAGGTTGTGTATAGATGTGATAAACTTAAAAATGAATTGCATCCTATGAAATTCCTGCCTATGTGACAAGTGCTGCATCATTGAAAAAAGTGTTTAAAAACAAAGTAGGTATCGTCAGTTACGTGGACTTCAGCACTAAGGGTGGGATAATAAGGTTTTTATGAAGAAATATACATGACAAAAAGAAGCACTAGGTAAGTACCAATGAAATATTTACATGTGCCACGTACATTGAAAGTTGCACATGCATTTATTTTGTATGAGTTTTTTAATAATAGGGCATGACTATAGTATATTTATTATAAAAATAACTTTAAAGTACCCAAAGCCTAAATAATGACATGATTCTAATTATATCATTAATTTACAGTAAAGGCATATTATCAATCTTATTAAAATCAGGTGTTGATGAAAATTATATAAACCATCTGTCAGGCCATCCTTAAAAAAATGTTTGTTTGGAATTGCCGCCTAATCGGTTTCAGACACAGGAGGGAGAAAAATCATTTTATTGTTAATTGAAGGTAAATTTTAAATTTTTGATAATAATCTCAGTAAACAGTCAATACGAATTCTGATTTTTTTTTTTTTTTAAAAAGTATCTACAATCAACTAAAAAAACCTAATTTTTTGGTTAAAAAATAATTGCGATGCAAGGTATTTCATCAATTTTTTAAAGAATTAATTTCGTTTATTTATCTTTATTTTAAATTACCGGTAATTAATATTTTTATTTTACATGTTGAGCTTATGAAATCACATCGCTAAACTGAACACGGGACAAATGTGCAATTTTCTTTTAGATTTCAATTTGTGCAGGGCTGAAATTTGTTGATGCATTTTTTTTTTGAAATGGGGATCGATGGTCGTGGGTGAATGTGCCCTTTCATTCGAACTTGAAATTATTGCAAAAAATAAATTAATATCAGATTATTTTATTGCATCAGAGAAAAAATAAATTAGATTTTTAGTCATAGCAAACACTGTCACAGTTGAATTTAAGCCAAATTTATAATACAATGTGTACACTTTACTGAAACAATGTATAATGTCTTGGTTTTGCCAAAGAATAGATATTTCTTCTTTTAAAGCAGTTCAGTGAGATCAAATCAATTGAATGGCGTCATTTTAAAAACTTTTAAGCTTGTGTGTTATGTTTTGGCTTGTGTTTTTTTTTTTTTTTTTTTTTGCTTATAGGTAGGTAGGTTTTTGAAAGATGGGTGGACGCTAAACAGAGAAAAAAAATGGAATGGACTTATTTATAGTGAAACTGTGAGTAATGTTGGTTATTCTCTATGTACCTTACTATGTTTATTTATTAACTCAAACAAGTTTACGAACAAAACATTTAAATTTTTGGCTACTGGGTTATCTCTTATAAATATTGCACGTAGTTGAGTGTAACATTGAAAATTTTCACCCCAAGAAAACCATTGTCAACCGAGGCGCAGCCGAGGTTGACAATGGTTTTCGAGGGTTGAAAATTTTCAATATTACATTGATTCAACTACATGCAATATTTATTATATTATACTGAATGTTTTATACAAATACATATTACAGTGAACCGTGCGCGCATAAATTTCGCGCAGTCGCTATTTTTGTCATACCATCCGTTGTCAAGCCAATGTTAACTGCATGTTGCTACACAGGAGGGCGTGGCTTCATTATTCAGCGGGTAGTAGTGTTTTTTATCAAATGTTTCTCGACGAATCAGATTCAAGTATTTTACATGAAAGTATAATATTTTAAAAATCTTATATTTTTTTTATATTAACGGTGGATGCATAGAAAATGTTTCTCTTGAAAAGCTGAATCCAGTTGACACATGTTTTTACCATAAATATTATTTTATTCCACTTCCGAGCACAACTGCTGCTAGTTTGATTCTATTCATCCTCCGGTGTCATGTACTGTGATTCGTTAGATATCGTCTGTTCGCCAAACGTCTATTTCAATACCTTAATTTCCTTTATTGTGAATGTAAACATGTTCGTAGCACCGTTTTTAAAATCAGACGCCAACCTAAAAAAAAAACCCATTGACACACAAAATGAGAAAAGAAAAACCGTAAACTCCCTAATTGAACTTGAAAATCCTATTAGGGAGAGAGAGAGAGAGAGAGTTGAACTTGTATCTAACTCTTTGGTATATATGTTTCAAAGCTATCATTTGCCATTATTTGCTCTCACAGCAACAAAAAGGGAAATCAGTATCATAAAGAAAATGTACATATTTTAGAAACTGCAGCAATTAAATGACTGTACGTGTTTAATTTGGGGAGTTCCCTCCGTTTCCAAAAGCGCCCTACGGACCTGAAAACAAAGTACATGTATGACTGTTCTGCCAGCGACCCTACTTTTTCTTCTATTATGTTTAAAATGATTTTTCACAACTAAACGAAAGTTTTTTTTTCATTTATACGGAAGATATTTTCTATTAATAGATGATTGGTCAACTGCATAAAATTTCAAATTGGTCATATTTGGAAGAAAATAGATATTTCATAATATAGTGGGGATGTTTATTGCAAAGGTACGAACGACTTTGGTCACAATCTGCATCACAACATTATAATCGGGTTTTTTTTTCAATTTGTACACTTTAATCTGTAAAATTTACATTTTAATCTGCAAAATT